ACTAGTTTACGTCCGGAGTGCTTTACTCCAGAGGACGCCATCATTTAATTTGTGTAGTCTTACTCGGGATCATAATGTGGTGGTTTCCCCGTTGTCTTCCACATCGCAGTATTATGCATCAGAGTGCCATACCGATCCTCGTGATCTCTGCCACCCTGAGTACTGAAAGAGCTGCTGCCCATAAAAATTTTATGTTTTATTAAGTATAAATTATTTTTAATACATTCATGACTTGCGTATATAATTTACATGACATTTTTTAATTTTACTTTCTCTTTTATAGTAAATCAGCAGCTTGTAAAACTATTTTTTTTTCTTGGTTCATAAATTCTGTACAGGTATGACATTCTCCTTAGAAAAAAATGACATACTTTTTGAAATAAAAACGATAGCGATGTATGATTTACCAAACAATTAAAAGTCCTGTGTTCGAAGAAAAAAACAGTCGAATATTTTTGTAATGTCCCATCCATATGGTCCACACATTCACCAAATTATGCATTTTGGCTCATGCGACAGAAATTTGTAATTTCTGTGGTCGGTGAACATTTTGCCATACCTGTATGCGTAAAGAATATAGAACATACAGGTAAGGCAGAATAGAATATCCGTATACTCGGTTAAAAGTAATAAATGGAAAATATTTCCTAATATGTTTAATGGACACCCTGTTTATAAAAATATTGAGCAGCATTCATGGAAAACTCCTTGCAACTTTGTTACTTTTTGTAATAATTTTGGTTTGACGGTCAACAACAACTAATCGACTCTTAAATTTCTTTAGATATTCGTCGAAGAAATGCAAGGTTAAATAAGAAAAAAGATGCACAAATATGCATAATACACATGTAGTTACACACACTATCTCGCCCAGACTAAATACAGGTAATAATTTAGTAAAGTCAAGCAATAATGAATTGAAAATTAATTATACAGTAGTTAAATATAGTTTACAAGAAGATTATTAAGTATAGGAATTACTTCAGAAGCTATTACGATACATTAAATTACACCACAAAGAAATTGAGAAAAAAATTAAAATTAAACCGAAAATAACTTCTAGAAAAAGGAAGTTAAACAACATAAAAGGTCTAGTACCTGATAAATATCCAAAAATTTTGCTGAATATATACTCCAAAAGCACAATCTTATTTCCGAAATAACGAAAACTATTACTTTGTCCCGATTAATCATTGAAAAATGAAAATGTACTATTTATTTTATGCAATGTAAATTATAAATTTTCAAAATTTTTGAAAAAGTACAAAACTTTGGCGCGCAATTGGAATTCGATGGATCACTTTATTTACCATAATTTATAAAAACTTGATTTGCAATAAATAATTGTTTTTTTTTGATAATGGTAAAGTATAAATTTTAATTAAACTTCGTCATCTGTGATATAACTAATTACAAAATTTCAGAAAAGTAAATGCGTAAAAAGAAAGTTAAAAAAAGCTGTAAAATCTCTTGACTGTATTCTTAAATATTGCACCCATAAAAATTGCAGATAAGAACTAAACAAAATAGCCTACCTTGCTACTTTTCGTAAAAACTTTTGTCCGCCGTCCGCCGATTAAAAAAACACCAAAATCCAACACTCAGTTCACTTCACAATTCGGACTGTGTCTGTTACAGATTTAACCCTTATTTATAAGTTGTAAACGTATGGGAGAAAGTATATTTTGCTGTGGTTACAGTTTAGCACAAACTTATTTGCTATGCACATGTACCCGAACGTTTGCCGAGAGCAGTCTAGATCAATATTCGCTCTAAAGTGTTTGTTGACAAGTTCAACATTAATTGGGTTCCTAACATTGTTCCTCGAGTCTTAACCAACCTACAAAGACCTTCACCAACAAGAAATAACTATTCCAAACATCAGACCAAACTTCTTAAAAGCTGTTTCACTCCACTCATAATTTTCAAATATATACTTTCTCTAGTGTTTTTTTACTTATTATAATATAAAAATTTTCTAAACTTGATATTCAAGTTGCATTTTATGCAATTTCTATTTTTGGCATTCCTGCAAACCAAAGTTTTAAATGTCAACTTGTTTCGGAAATGTG